CGGGACGACCGGACGCGTCCAGTCAGGACGTGATCAGCGTCCGGTCAGTAGCAGAAAAGCGAGATTTCGTCCCCAACAGCTACTTTCTCAGTGGGGCTTATAAATAGACCCCCCAACCAGCCATTTGAAGTGTGTGGAGCTGAGAAAACATATCAAGGGTGTTGATACACCATTTTAGTAATCTCCACTTGCATAGTGCTTATGCGCTTGCTCTAGGTTTAGACCTAGTGTTTAGTGAGGTTTGCATACCTCTTACCACTCGTTGCTTGCGCGCACCATTGTTGTACATCGAAGGGGCTTGTAGTCTTGCGGATCACACCAACTGCGTTTGTGGTGTGGCCGCCACCGTGTACCAGAGGAAACAAGGCCCGTGGCGTTTCGGACGGAAGCTTGATAGTGAAGACGGCGGGGAGCATCCGGGAGAGGCTTGCCAGAAGGCACATCGGAGACCCACTTGCGCGTGGGGAAGGCCCGAGGCTATCCACGGAGTTACCCGACCGGGAGCTTGGCCCTTGCGAGGGATTCCTTGCGAGGGGCTCCAACGAGGACTAGGGGGAAGCTTGCGTGCTTCTTGATACCTTGGTAAAAATACCAGAGTCGTTAACGGGAGTTTGCATATCTCTACCTTGCTCTTTAGCTTCCGCATTTATATTGATTACATTACTTCTTTTGCGGTAAAGATAACAACACACTAGCCAATCAAGAACGTACCATCAATGGAGAAGACGGGATGGCAGTGCCGAAAGGCCTCGACACACTGAGGGAAGCACAAGAAAGCACAAAAGAATATCTGCCTCCCATCCTTCCATGCGTTTGGTTTTGGGATGTACTCATAATGCATGCCTAGATTCACCGCTTTGATTGTATTGAAAAGTACTGGCGACTGCTCGTACCCATCCTCCCAGTCCCCATATATCATCTTCCATGCACGCTGCTTAGCCCTCCAAGCTTTAACATACGTTATCACATAACCTCCATACAACACCTCAACGGTGCTTATAATTGTCCTAACCTTCATGTTGGGTTCTCCCTGCAATATTCCCATTAACCGTTTGGCAATGAGGGTAGATGTCAACTGCCGATGCTTCAATGTGAGCACATGTTCAGCACAAGTGTGTGGCCCAACAACTTTTGTGATCTTCCACTTTCCGGTGACCTTTTGCTTCCTTGCACAAACCCTCCATTGGCAGCGTTCCTTGTCACAAACAATTGTATAACGCCACTCCACATATGAATGCAGGACCTTGTAAGGTCTTTTGCGTATCACTGCAAACTGCTGCAACCACCTCTTCAATGCAGGGAGGTCCTTGAAAACCCTCCCCTTCTCAATTACCATGCTAGGGCTGGCCTCAGGAGCATCTAGCAGCTCATCATCCCGTCCTTCTGCAAATGCCTGATCGAAATGAGCAAGATTGCTGAACTCGTGAACTCTTGGATCACGGCGGCCGGGGAAGATACGCTTCAGCATCTCAACGTCACTCTCCGTCAGCTCTCCAACAGGACGATCATCATCAGAATCAACAGCCCTTGCGATCTCATATGGATCTGAATCATTCATAATTTCAACACTATTAGAGGTACGGAATCCATCTCCACTGTGCACTTGCGTAGCAACAGGAGGCACATCCATATTGTCGGGAATGTCTCCTGCAACATAAGCAGAAATACGAGGAACGAATGAGAAAAATGGATGAAAGAAAAGGGGTAAGCTCCAAAGGATGCGGATAAGACACTCAGATGATTCTGTGTCAAAGGGATCTCCTGAGGAGGATCTGCTACAACATCATGAGTCCGACAATCATCTCCAACTGCCTTAGAAATATGGACCTCATTGGGGGCAGATTGGGCATCGGGAACCGTAGGCGCAACCTCCGCATCCATATTAGGTTTCGGGACAGGAGGGTCAAAGTGTGCCTACTGACCCATTGGCGGGGAAAACCCATGAGGGATGCGACCAAGTACCACCCGACGCACAACCACGTCCAAACTTTGGAACTGGTTCTTCATAGCTGATCTCACATAGTTCTCCCACTGATCCGCACACCCAATTGGGATCATCTTCCTTAGGATGTTGGGAGGGGAACCTAGGTGAAGTGCACGCTCAACTACGATGCCACCACCATCATCATCATCTCCATGGCAATGTAGCTCCTCCCGAGCCCTTGTAACCAACTCACTAAATGAAGGCTTCTCATTGAATAACACAGGCACGCTTTGCATCTCAACAAACTCAACATATCCATAGCGATCTCTTTCTACGGTGCCTCCACGATATATGCTCACTAGGTTGTCCATCTAGTTCATACACATAACGAAGCACATTTCCTTTAGTCCAATATGAATGAAACATAATAAGTACAAGGTCTCTAGTACGTAATAACTAACTAAATAAATACTATCAATTCACTACTAACTACTAAGTACTACTAATTATGTCAAGTAACTATCTAACTAACTATGTAACTAACTATATAACTATTTAACTAACTATGTAAAGCATCCATCAATCTACCTATCTATCTAAATATCTTTCTACCTATCTAAATCACTACCACATTAACTAACTAACTATTGTTAAATAAGAAGAAAATTAACAAAACTAATGTACCTTGTTTGACTGCAGGGGAGGCGCAGCCGGTGCACGGGAGACGAGCCGGTCGACAGGAAGCAGAGGCGGCCGTCGGGGAAGCTGTCGTGCGCACCTGGTGCGCCAACACGTCCTCTCGGTTGGCCACCACAGCGGCAAGGCGGGTGGGGGCGTGCGGCCACGTTAGGCAGGCACCAGGCCCCCGACCACCTGGGCACGGCCCCTGCTGCCCCTTTGCCGGCCGGCGCAGCAGGGGGCAGCCGGCAAGGGAGGGCGGCGCGGCCGCGGCCGTCCCTGTGGAGGGCGGCACAGCATGGGGCAGGCCGACGCGGTCGCGGGCCGGGGTCGTCGGCGGGGAGGGCCGGCCGGGGTGGCGGGCGGCGCTGGGGACGCGGGTGGCCGAGGGGAGGCGGCGCGGTGGTGCGCGGGAGGCGCGGCGGCGGCGACGGAGTGAGGGAGAGAGAGGGAATCGGGCCGAGTGGGTGAGGGAGAGGGAATGAATTGATAGAGATCGGGAGGGCCCAATAGTCTGTCGGCTAGGCGCCAAGATCAACGGCGCCAAGATCTGTGGTGCCAAGCTAGCTGCCAGGTCACCTCCACGTCTGCGTTGACGCCGACGTGGCCCCAAGACCTAGGCGCCAAAGACTGTGGATCTCGGGGCAAAATGACTCTGGTGTCGAGGTGGGGGTCTAGATTTTGAAAGCATAACTCCAGGACATATTTGTGAAAAACTTTCAAAAAAAATACCAAAAAATAAAAAATTCAGGCACCATGCTACGCTGGACAAAAAACTCATTGAGCTGGCTCGGTACCGGCTCGGCTCGTTAAGCTCAGCGTTAAGTTGAATGTTAAATAATTCAGGAGACTATGATAAATAAGATTATACAAATTTTCAAAAAAAAAACTCGAAAAAAACTGTAGTTGGCTCAATATCGAGCCTTACATGCTGGTGATGCCAAGCGGCTACCATGCCGGCGATGAGTTTGCTCCCAAACCAGATCAGGAGCCGGACACGCACGACAGGCCACTCGACGAGTCGGAGGCTCGGAGCTGGAAGAAATATCCCTTCCAGAGAGTCGGAGATGGAAGAGAGAATCCCATCCAGTCATCCAGAGAGAGAGAGAGAGAGCGCAAGCGAGCCGGACACTGCTTTTTTGCAACTTTCTGGTTATCTGGTGCAAGTTGACTTAGCAGCAAGTAGCTAAAATGATTAAACATGTGGCACAAATCACGCAAAAGGTCTCATCACGAACCAATAACCATACTTTGTAATAACATTCATCATGGTTAAACAAGCAGTGTGCTAATTTGACCCCAATTCATTCCATGTCGATCAACTCCTAATATTGGCACAAGAAAGCAGTTACCATGGAAAATAAACTTGGAACTGACTACCAACATTTAATTTAGCTACTGGTTAAACAGCAAATCATCCTACTCTATGAATCAAGGTCGGTACGACGGGAACACGAAATTATTTCCAATTCCCCTGCCCTCAACTACATCTCTAGACTACAAACTGTATAACCATCCACAGCTACTCATGCACGCTACATCAGGACTCGGGAGTTCAAAGCCGCCGCCTAGTATCAATAAGTGTGCTAGCTCTTCAATCGAAACAGTCTCATTGCATATCCTTTCAATCGCTCCTACAACCAATTCTTCAGGGAGGAACAGAAAGTTGCACAGTTCGAAGGATTAGTCCTATGTTAACAAATTCAATTTTCCTCAAAATGGAGACTGCAAAAATACTGTCATGTTCTTATCAAGACCTCCAACTCATGGCACCCTGCACCATCCAAACAAACATAAAAATTAGCATATCGTTCAGAACACACTAGTTTATTGATTGTTTTGTAAAAGTGTCGATTATTAAGACTTGACTTTGACATGTTTCTCTGTGGTACATAAACAAGCACAGAGCACACAGGTATTTTCAGAAATATACTGTTATGCTCCATATCAATTGTTATGCGTTATGGTCTACATAAAGTCACACCATGCTATAAGACGGCTAACAAGTTCATCAACATTGCATCACTACAGACAACCATCAAAGGAACATATAACTATTATTACTACCATTTTAGGACGAGTACAAAGGAAAAATTGAACAGTTAAGTGTCCACATAGAATCTGAGTAGCTGTCGATGCCATTGCATATTCAGATATTCTAGAGATGGAGCTAAAAATCAGATGAGACTAATGTTAGGTCATAGCCTCATAGGGATGCCTCTTAAAATGGCTTAAGACATGTTGACAATGCACCTCTAACTGAAACATTTGCATCGATAAACAGAAACCACCCAAATTAAGACAAGTTATGCAAGCCAGATCACTGAACAACAGAATCTAAAAAAAACGTTACATGAAAAACAAATTGAATCCAATAGGGAAGTAAAGAAGCACGTACCACTAAGCACAGGTTTTGATGGCAGAAACCATCAGTCTCCTTTTAACAGCAAATTACAAGGATTCAAGAAAGAACTAGGAAGTGTTAACTAAGTCCATTCCCCGTCTCATCAGTTTTGGAGCTCTTATGCTGCCATAAGTTGATCAGCCACGTTAACAACAAAGCGACAAATTCTCTCTATGAGAGTTATTGTATCAGCAAGGAAATAATAGCAGTGTGCTACCTTACTCTTCTTGTGCTTATGCACATCCGCTGAATCTTCTGTTTCCTCATGCTTCCTCTTCTGATACAAATGGTGGGCATTGCCCATCAAAAGGTATATGGTTTGAAATGAAGCTATTCAGAGTTTTTGAACATACAGAAAATGGACCAACCTTTTCATGATGTTTCTTTGAATCAGAATCATGATGACCACTTTTATCTTTTTTCTTATCCTTGTCTTTGTCTTTATCTTTGTCCTTACTCCGATCCTTATGCCGATGTTTGTGCTTCTTATGTTCCTTGTCTTTGTCCCTGTCTTTGTCTTTGTGCTTTTTATGCTTCTTCTCTTTGTCCTTGGACTCACTTTTTGGTTTACCCGAAATAGTCGGTATGCCCTTTTCAGTCTGTTGATATGGTATGTGTTATAAACAGTACAATGAGCAAATCTAATAATGCCATAAAAGAAGTGAGATGCTAGAAAGGATCTTACAGAGGGCAAATCCACAGGAGCTGTTTCTCGAAGTTGGAATGCTTGCCCCAGTGTTTCCATATCAAAGGGCTGAATATAAGCAGGTTTATCCCTCATATATGCATTCTGAACAAGTTGATCTAACTCCATTCCTTCTCCTTTGCGAATTTCAGTGTCTCCCACAACATTGTGAAGATAATGTGTATCTGATATTGCCAGTGGCAAAGGTTTCTTGCAAAAGAAATCATGGTGTGACAGCAGTTTGTAGTGGCTGATCAAATCAACAGCACCAGTGAGCTCCCTTGGCCCTGAAATACATAGAGAGATGATATATCAAACAACCACATAGCCGGCGAATAAGGTTCCAGAAAAGATAGATGCACTGATATATCTATGAAGCAAAATTTAATCTAGCTTACAATAGACATTAGATGCAGTATTGTCACAAAATACTAAATGTCCAACTAACACATTGTGAACTATGAATAAGTCAAAGCAGGTGAATTTTTGCCCATTGTTAAAACAACAACAAAGCCTTTTAGTCCCAAGCAAGTTGGGGTAGGCTAGAGTTGAAACCCAACATGAGCCCCTAGTCACAGTTCAGGCACGTCAATAGCTATTTTCCAAGCACTCCTATCCAAACAAAGATCTCTAGGTATATCCCAACCCTTTAAATCTCTTTTTATTGCCTCCCCCCATGTCAGCTTCGGTCTTCCTCTACCTCTCCTCACATTGATATCTCGACTTAGAACTCCACGATGCACTGGTGCCTCTGAAGGTCTCCTTTGGATATGGCCAAACCACCTCAACCGATGTTGGACAAGCTTTTCTTCAATTGGTGCTACCCCTAGACGGTCACGTATATCATCATTCCGAACTCAATCCATCCTTGTATGACCACAAATCCAACGCAACATACGCATTTCCGCGACACTCAGTTGTTGGACATGCCGTCTTTTTGTTTGCCCATTGTTAAAAGAACTGCAGTAAACAGCTGGCTACAGGGCATACTGGCCTAAGCTGGCAAAAGAATCAGCACCAAAAGTTTGTATTTAAAATTCTAAGCATATAATTATTACTAATTTCTTGCAAGCTAATGAGGATAACTCGTAATCAAGCAAGCTGTGATATTAATACCAGTCTGTTGCTTTGTGCCCACATGAATTAGAATTTAGCATTTCAGATTTGCATACTGAATAATTGTCATAAGGGAAGTGGGAAACATAGGGATCACAAATAATAATTACCTGCTTCCATAAAACAAATTCATTTTTGTTCCTTTCCAGCACTAACCATTAACCAACCATTCTGGTTGATAATACCAGCCACACAATCAAAATTTCAGATAGTGCTACTTGGCTGGCATAATACTGGTAATGGTAACTTGGAGGCAACCTATGCTAGGTGAGGACTTATCACTTAGCATGTTGTTTATGCACCTGGAGATCAGGAATCAGGACCCCAACAAAAGCTAACCACCCATATTAACAATTTCATTTCTGAAAATTGCTTGTCCACCAAATGCATATTTAGGGTGAAATGAACCGTGCGTCCCTAAACTTTCCACATATTCCCATCTGGGTCCATGAACTCTCAAAGTAATCATCTAGGTCCTTTAACTTTTCAAGTGATTCATTCAAAGTGTAAATTCAAGTCCATGATTGGACCTAGAGTGAACATAAAATGGACCACTTAAAAAGTTGAAGGATCAGATGATCAATTTGAGAGTTCATGGGCTTAGATGAGAATGCAGAAATTGTTTAAGGAACCACGGTGCATTTCATTCTTTTAGGTGAGTTTTAACCCAAACCCTACCGTTTCCAAACTTCTTGTCATCAGAATCCATCAGATTGGAGCTTGAGCTATGCAAAGAGCATCTTCACCTGAAATTCAATTAGGAAAGAATGTAACAACAAATGTGTACAGGTAAAGTGAACTGGTTCTGTAATGAACAAACATGATATACATTACTACATATCTACATACCACACAGACATGTCAAATCCCATGACCATGCAAACATCGATAGACAATGCATAACCACATATGGTGTCACCATCAAAAGTAATGAACAGGTTTCCCCTCTCTTATTTGAAATACTATGGAATTACATGTCAATTGTCATGTGTAAAGCACTGTGATTTTAGCAAACCAAACATTATTTTGAAAAAAAAAACTCTAATCGGTTCCAAAGAGTAGTGAGGTAAGGACGATTCAGATGTTATAAATGGAGCATACCAAGTGAAGAATTCAGCCCATATTAGCATTTTCTATTTCTCTTTTGTGTTACATAGCATCTATATATATGTCAGCAGACAGAATCCTTGCGCGATATATAACAGCTAGCAGATCAAAGCTAATCGGTGCAAAAGTTTGTCTTAGGCCCATCAGCAATAATAACTAATGTCATGACATGACCAGATATCAGCTTGATACTTGCTCGGTTAACAGAATACTGAGAATAGGATATCATTCTGCTCAGGTTTTTATTTTTCCTTTTGGAGGATAGGAGGATTACCCGAGGCATGTAAAGTACAGCAGTTACAATGAAAAAGGATTGAGAAAAAAAATTCAAGCAGACAAATGCTAGCAACAGGTTTCCGTGTACACGAAGACATTACTATCCCAATCATTCTAGAGGCACTTCAAAGAAAAATAGGCCAAGCACTAGACAAAAGACCGCCCAATCAGATAATCAATCAACCTCATGTACAGTTACTAGTGGTAAAGGTCCAAAAATAATCCACAATTGGCAAAACAAAGCACTAGAGAGAGCATGCCAGCAGGCCACCATACAAATTCAATACAAGATGCTTCTGACAATATACATAGGATACCCTACATAAAGGATCTCTGGCCAGGCAGCAACGGGCCTATTCGGGACACCAAAACTGCACACACAGCAATCATAACTATTACTACAAAAACCCAGCATTGTAACCAATGGTGATAGCCAGGAAGCATGGCTACAGGCTCTCAGTTGCAGCACATGAACTCCATTGGTCCAGAAACAGCCCCTGAAACACCAGTGTATCCAGGACAGGAGCCCCCTGAAACACCCGTGTATCCAGGATGCAGTTAGGGCATGGGGATTGAGCCGGGCCACTGATTCTAGAAAACACCCGTGCGGCCAGCCAGGGTGCTCTGCAGGCAGCTAAATTGAGCCTGCGCGCTGGATACTACAAGTCTAATCGAACTGAAGGGGCGGGTGGAGCACGCTAAGTTGGGCAGCAGCGCCACGAAGCGGGCGCGAATCCGCGCCTGAGTGACCGGTGGTTAGGGTTCAATTCAATTCCTCCTGCCGCAGCAGCGAGGAGGCACCGGACACAGGGGCAAGCTTGGGGAACTCACCGACATAGCACGGAACGATCTCGAGGCGGGGACCGGTCTCCGCGCCACCCCGCGCCAGTCCAGTGCCAATAGAGCGCGAGGGCCGGGGCGGGGGTGGGGGCGGGGTCGGGGGCGACGCCTCCCCGGCGAGGGCGGCGAAGACGTTCGGGTGGGAGGCGGGGCTGGGCCCCTGCGGTGTGCGCCGTCCGTCGCTGGCGGCGAGAACGCCGGCGGTGAGGGCGGCGGCGGTTAGGTAGCGAGCGGGCAGAGAGAGGGAAAGGAAGGATCCGGAACCCTCGACGACCCCCGAAGTTTCGCTTTTTGCTCGCCTTCTGGCTTGTAACGGAAGGAGGTCTTGGCAAAACCACCGGACACCACACGGGTTTTCTTGCCGTGGAGACCCCACCCCGGTCCAGCAGCTGTGCGCGGTGCGCCGACTCCAACAAGGAGTTCCGTGATGTCAAATACGTCTTCGACTCGTACAAGCAGGAGTATACTAGTAGAACACACAAATCTGCAATGACACATGGGGAGATGGATTTCCATTCCATTCAGAGTTTCAGACTGCCCACCAAATCAGTGGGTACAGATTTGCAGTTCTACAAATGGGCCGGCGCCTGTAGCCTATGTGAATTCCCACCCACTCCTTCTCTCCTCTCCTCTCCTCATGTCTGCATTCACCTCAGTGCAGTTGATCACACCCTTATCTATAAAGAACCAAAGAACACTGTGATGTCGAGATCGAGATGATGATTTCTGGCGTTAGTTATCAAGCAGATGGTTGTATGACACTGAAGCCAGGCGAACGGAACAGAGATCATGAACCTTGATCCAACCTCTCCCCTGTTCTACAGCATCCTGTGATGGGGGATATCACACCTAGGCCACCATTTCCCCCTGGAGCCTCATGTTATCTGTAGTTACAGCAGCTCGCACGCCGTGCTGACAGTTTCTCCCAGAGGCACAGCATCTGCCTGGGGGACTGGTAGTGCGCCGTGAAGTAGTTATCCACGCAGCCGAACTGGCAGAACCTCCAGCTGTGGACGTACTGCACGGGGGCGCTGGTGTTGTAGTCCTCCACCCACATGCCCATGCTCACATCCTCCATCTTGAACAGCTGCAAGCAGCATGGAAGATGGCCCGTCAGGAGGCGTTGGCGGAAGGCGCGGTGGGCAAAAGGTAAACAGATGTATCGCGGTTAAGACTTAAGACAGTGAACCTCACCCGTAGGGAGTGATTTGTATGCCGGGATGCTATGTCTCTCGCGATGTCGGCCGAGATAACGTAGCCAGGTCCATTGGCATACGGGGGATACGCAGCTTCAGGCCATTCCTGCAGGCGCACGCTTCGAGTGAGCAAACATATGCATGTTAAAATTGCAGATCCATGGCGCTTACGTCGGCGCTAAGGTACCTCGTAGGTGACGGCCCATTTGCCCCTTCTTTGAGGCCTGTGCAAGAGATTCAGGTTGCCCAGATACAGAGGTAAGGTTCTGTTGTAGGTAGTGATTTGTTGCAATACTATATCCAGACGCACAAAGGTGTCGTCATCGCACTTCATGATGTAATCTGCAGTGACGTTTTGCACCTATACATAAGCAAATGGCTCTCACCAGTCAGCATTTGTCAATGTCGGATGATACATTGGAAATGGACATTTAACACGAATGTAGCATAACTAACCCCGTATTGACATATCGCAACTGTTTTCAGAACCACCAGCTCATACCGGTCGATAAATGGCAGAATTACTATGTCTCCAAAATATTCTGCTTCCTTCTTTAGTGCTGCGTTTATCTCCTTTCTGTGGCTCTACAAAAGGAAGCACGTCACAAACTCATAATGATACTGTTATGGATTGGACCATTGTGAAATCATGAGAACAAATCATACCAGCGCGACAAAGAACCGGGCAACTGCATTCCCCAATTGGATAGCCGGAAACTGCATCCAAGTTTTCCTAATAGCCATGCGCTCAGAGAAATGGTTTGTAGCAGAGAGGATGCCAATGAAAAGATGAATTGGTTCCTCTGGGACAGGGCGAGCCTTCCACCTTTCAGACATTTCCAAGACTTGTTGGAGAGAAAAACTAGGATGGGCCTTTGGAAGCGCTGTTGCATATACAGAGTGAACATCTATGCCCCCTGTTATGGCTAAACCTGTTGCATCTTCGAGAGTGAATCCCTGACAAATATTGGCAATAAAAAAATAAGTACCCAGTGATTTCTTTGCCAGAACTTCGAAATATCTCTACAATGGAATGTATTCTTTGGCAAGGGAACTAAAATTTACCATCCTATGAGGAAATGAGGCAACATGGCGGCCTCCCACATTAATATGATATCCTTCAATGCCAGCTTGGATAGTGAGAACAAACATCTTCCCCTCTGAAAATGGAAATGGCCATGTCATTTCAGGTTTCTTTGCTCGCCCGATAAATCTGTTGAACCATGAGCTTGTCTTTGTTTCCTTCGACTCAACTATGTCCTGCCGCTCCCATTTCTCACATTTTCTGAATCCATCGACTGCAAAGTTAACAATCTGCAAGAATAAGTACAAAGGACTAAAGGTGGCAGCCATAAGGTAGCAACAGACACGAGCAGCAATGCAAGCAACACATTACAATACGACTTATAAAAATGAATAAATTAGGACACATGGCCACTACACATATAGATTTAGCACTGATTTAGCACCTTTGTCAGGAATCCGTTTTTTGACCTTTCATCAGTGCTCATCCACCCAATACCTTATACTTCAACCAACCGCCGCAAACAATAATAGACGCACAAGAACAAATAAAATTACCTAAGAGCATCTCAAGAGCCTTTCTAAATCCCACTCTCTAAATCATCTTTTGAAGAGTCATTTGCATAAAAATCATTTTCTATATCTTTTCACTCTCCTGACAGTTTTTCTATATCTCGTGCGCACTCTAGAGAGCCATTCTCGTCTTCTATTTTTTGCTAGCAAAAAACCCGGAATAGAAGAATGTTATATTTGGATAACCGTTTAGAGAAGCTATTGGAGGGTAGTTTTTCATCAAAATCTCTATTCCTAACATTTAGGAAGGATATAGAGTCTCTTGGAGATGCTCTAAACTGGTGAAGAATTAACAAGGTTCTGCACAAAATTATTCAAAACATCAACGGATGCGTCATGAAAGCATATTGTTCCATACTGACTAGTGACTACTATGTGTTTCTTACCATTTCCCAAGAACAGGGAGCTTGCATTGTCCAATTAATAAGCATGCCAAGTTTGCTACTTGCATTTTAGTTCAAATTTCGAAACAAACAATTGTTGAAGCGCGCCTCTTACTCAGGTCATCGTCTCTGCAAGGGGTGCCGTCGCAGCGCTGCGCCCTGCCCCACTGCATTCGGAAGCAGGTGTTCATCTCTAGCACGGGGCGACCGCTCCAGTCGCCACGGAGCCGCGGGTTGAGGTGGAGTATCCTCGGTGGCTCCTCGCCGTCGGCGGCGCGCAGGCCGCGCAGCTCCACCGCGAACTGCGCCACCAGCACCGTCCCGTTGCCCGCGCCGCTCCGCTCCAGCGCCTCGACGTACTCGGGCCGCGCCGCGCGCGCCGTCCCCACCACCGTCACCGCCGACCCGGCGGCCAGCCCGCACGGCAGGAACGCCGCGGTCTCCCCGGCGCCGAGCGCGAGCGAGCCGGGGCACTTGGCCGCAGCGCCCTCCCCGGCGACGTCGCGGGAGGCGATGGAGTCGCCGACGTCGCCGGCGAACGCGGAGGCCTCCTCCCACGCGGCGGCCCCGAGCGCCCACGCCTCGGCCGCCACGCGCTCCAGCTCCATGAAGTTCCCCAGCCGCCGGCCCCACCGCTCCCGCCGCCGGAGGATCTCGCCGGTGATGCGGCCGTACCCGGACACGCCCCCGCCGCCCCTCGGGCGAGCAGGCGGCTCGTCGACCCGCCGCCGCCGCAGCGGCTCGCCCGCGCCGGCGGTGGCCAGGCGGCGGCCGACGGCAGCAGGCGCGGGCCCCGCGCCGCCGAGGCCAGCGAGCTTGATGGACACGAACAGTAGGTAGGCGAACGCCGCCACGGCGAGGAGCGGCGCACCCAGGCCCCGGCGCGCGCGCAGCCGGCTCACGCCGAGGAATCCCTCGGAGCTGCGCGCGCGCTTCATGGCTGCCGGCCGCCGGTGGCCGGGTTCGGGGACCCGCGACCGCGAGCGGGCCCGGTTCCGAAATGGCAGTGGCCGGCCGGCGCTTGCCGGGTCTGGGAGTGGGTGAAATCCGGAGCGAGACGGGAAGGGAAGGTGATGGGGTTGGGTTGGTGGTTTAGCGATAACGATCGCCAGCTGGGGCGTTGCTGCTGACGTGGCGGTTACTCGAAACCGTGTCTCACAGTCGCAGGTGGGTTACCGTTACTCTTGCTTTCAGGTGTACGTTTGGTTGGTTGCGTAGAGTTGGAGTTAGATGAAGTGTTTACTGTTTACTTGACTTAAATTGGGTTCTACTTTTGACATGGAGTCAGGATGAAGTAACTTGCTTAGAGATGTTTTTGTTGTATGGCAAAATTAGGTCCTCGACACTAAAAAAAAGATAGACTTTGCTGCAACGCATAAAAAAACTTGTCTTTGTCCAAACACACTAAAACTCTTTGATAATTGGGTCACGGACACTACACCTCTTATTATAATCATTTTTAATAGAAAGGTACGCCTGTCTATTCTCTTGTTTCCCTGCTGCCGAACGGGATGACCAAAACGGATCGGGACTTCCTCGCTGCGCCACTCCTGCTGCTTTGCCCGCCTCTTCCCTCTCAGGCGGCCTCTCTCCTCCCTCCGTCCGTCCAAGTTTCCTGCTGCCTTGCCCTTCGCTCGCTATCAGAGACGGCCATGCCTTCTTCGCTAACGCCCAAAGGTCGGCTCTGTTCCTTCTGGCGGCGCCCGCTTGCAGTGGCGAGATGGAGGAACCTCCTCCACGATTCTTGACACATTTTCCGAGAGAACCACGCCGATCTGTCATGGGTTCCCGAAGGTAAGATTCTTGCGATTTTCCCCTAGGGTTAGGCTAACTGTAGGCTCGATTTTGCAAAGTAAATCGTACCCTTGTTCATCCCATTTATCTTTGTGCCCTCAGATATGTAGGATGGATCCCAATTTGTCCTACTGAGCTTGCTTTGCTCGAGTAGGCGCTTATGTCAAATTAACTAATGATGATGGTTGCGAATATTGCAAGGCATGTAACATTCCAAAGATTTTAGACAGGGGATAGCACAAATGGAATGATTTGCTTCTTGAATTTGCTACGGAAATTAAGCTAGGCTCAAAACAAAAAGCTGCGTGTCACCTATTGGGATAATATGAGTCGTAGCTATAGAGAGATTGATTCGACCAGAAATTGCTTTATGCAATTGACATGTATTGGGATATAAGGAGGCTTTCCGTGCAAGTGCGTGTTATAAGAAAAGACGACGAGGATCACATACATGATATTGGCCGACTAGAGAGCATGCCTTGTGTTTTGCGGGGAAGCACCGATGCCCCACCAACCAAACTATTGCACAACCTTCACTTGAAACCGACTCATCTCTTGTAGAGCCACCAATTCAAAAAATTCTTCAAGTGGCTTGGGTGGATGATGACGTGAAAGCACGTTGGTCCGAATGATGAGGATCCAATTTACGATTTATCAGAGCTGAACCGAGATAGTGATGTAGACTATGCTGGTTTGGAGGATGAATTAGTTGTTGAGGATGCATGGGGTTGTAAGACAATTATCCATGCAACTGACTTGGAGAATCTAAAAATAGAAGTTGGTGTAACTTTTAGGGATGGTGATACTTTCAAGAAAGCTATTAGACAATATGCAATAAAAGGTGAATATGAAATTGCAGCTCCCTATTCTGAGGCAACAAGGTATAGAGGCTATTGCAAAGTTGAACGGTGCAGGTGGCGTATACATGCTTCACAATTGCAGGATGGAAGGACTTGGGAGGTACTTGTTCTTTTTCCAGATTTTTTTATACTAATTTTTTTACTGTATGTTTGTATTGAATTTAATTCTTGCTTGTTTCAGATAAAGAAGATGCCTTATGAACACACTTGTCAAAGCACGGGAAAAGTTGAGAAGAACTGCATGGCAACAAATCAGTGGGTCAAGGATCGGGTTCTGGATTGGCTTGCAAAGGACAATAAAATTGGGCCTAAAGAATTAAAGAAAAGGCTAGAGGAGCAGTATCATCTGAAGTTGTCATACTGGGTAGTTTGGGATGGAAGAAATAAGGCTTTGGAGCAACTCAAAGGGAAGTGGGATGATAGTTTTGAGTGTATTTTCAGTTTCAAGGCAGAGGTGGAGAAGACCAATCCTGGCAGTTTGGTAGACATTGAATATGAGAAAGTTGGGAAGAAGATGAGGTTCACTAGAATGTTTGTTGCATTGAAGTCTTGTGTGGATGGATTTCTAAATGGTTGCAGGCCTTTTCTTGGTGTGGACTCCACTCATTTGACTGGGAAATGGAAGGGTCAACTTGCATCTGCTACTGCTATTGATGGGAACAATTGGATGTTTCCAGTGTGTCATGGTGTGTTTGGATCAGAGACAACTGACAATTGGGAATGGTTTTTTAGCAGACTTCATCAAGCTATTGGATCACCTCTAGGGCTAGTGATATCAACTGACGCAGGCAAAGGAATTGATTCAGCTATTACTAAAGTCTTCAAAAATTGGGTTGAGCATAGAGAGTGCATGAGACACTTAGTTGCAAACTTCCAAAAGCGATTTCGGGGTGAAGTCTTTGAGAAGCACTTGTGGCCAGCATGTAGAGCTTATCAAAGACACAGGTTTGAAGAGCACTACAATCTAATGTATGAAGCATGTCCTGAAGCCATGAAGTGGATACATAATACTCATAAGCACCTTTGGACACGACACTTGTTCTCTGAAGCAAGCAAGTGTGACTATGTCACAAATAACATTGCTGAAACATTCAACGGCTGGGTTACATATGAGAAATCCCTTCATGTAGTTGATCTTATGGATAGGATAAGACAGATGGAAATGGACAAAATGTTCTTGAGAAGAAAAATTGCAAGAAAGCTTGAAGGCAAGATCCTACCTAAAGTCATGAAGGAACTCAATACAAGAAGCAGGGGGCTCAAATATGTGTGGAGGTATTCACACAAAGATGTACTGAGACTGAAATTTTAGGTGAAGTTGAAGGTGTTACAAGGGATCTAGTTCATTGGAGGCATATTGTTGATCTTAAAGAGAGGACATGCACATGTAGGCGTTGGCAAGTTACTGGTCTACCATGTACACACACCCTCTGTATTATCACCTCATTTCGAGGTTATAATATAGAAGACTATGTTCATGAGTACTATTATGTGGCAAAGTTCAAGAAAGCCTATGAAAAGTCTGTGAAGCCAATGACAGATAGGAAACAATGGCCTAAGATGGACCCTAGATTCAAATTGTGGCCTCCAATTCTGAAAAGGGCAGCCGGTAGACCAAGGGAGAGAAGGTACAAATCAGTTGCAGAAGGTGGCACTGGAAAGAGATCCACAAGATGCAAAAGGTGCAGACAGCTTGGCCACATGGAAAAAACATGCAATGAATATGTTTATGAATCTAATGCACCACCACCTGCCCCTCCAAAGCCAAAAAGAAAGAGAGCCAAGAAAAATGTCACAGTAGTGCCATCTAGTAGTGCTACTAATCCAATACAGGAACAACCATCACTTGATGAACCATTGTAAGCTTTCAACTCAAACTTGAAACATATCTTACATAGCAGACCACTAACATGCATATCTAAACAATTTACAGTGCTACACCACCAAGAACTATCACTTCTGTTTCTACACCAAGCCCTATGACAAGAAGGTACAAATGCAACTTCCAAAATTTTGCCATATTGTATTACTTCTTACTGGATTTGACTTTTTCTCTCCATTTAGTATGTCAAGGAGGTTGCTGCAGCAAAATCCATCTACACCAACTAGAGCTATCACTCATGTGCAAACACCTAGCCCTATGACAAGGAGGTATAAGTCCTCCAGTTATGTTTTCCTGGTTGTTATCTTTCTTTAAAATAATTGTTGACATGCTTCTATATCCATTTCAGCTGAAAAAGGTTGCTGGAATTTGAAGGCTCCATAGAGCCTGTTGCATGTGAAGCACTATCTCCAGTAGCCTTCATGGAGAAGGGAAAGGCAAAGAAGTTGAAGGTTGTCAGGTCTAAGAAAGAGTAGAGAGTGCCGGATCAGTAGCATGTATGGTTTTGGTAGCATCAAGATAGCCAAATGTGGCTCGAATCTATGATTTTTTTTGCTAAACCTGCTAAATCATTCCCCTTTGCTAAACCATGTCATTAAGGTCTATACTGTAGCCAAATGTGTCTGAACCTGCTATTTGTATTTGTGTACTGCTTGCTGAATGGTGAAGAACATGCTATCATCATGTCCTTTTATCTATAAGAAATGTTCATTTAAAGGAGTAGGGGTATACTTGTCTTTTATAAATGTATTGATAACTGTTTGATGAGGATATGTTATAATATGTGTTACAGTGTCTAGCACCCAATTGCCATAGAGTTTTAGTGTGTTTGAGCAAAGACATGTTTTTTTAGTGTGTTGTGGCAAAGGCCACCTTTTCTTAGTGTCCAGCACCTAATTATGCCTTGTTGTATTCAATGTTAAGATAATAATAATGGTTCTGAATGGTACATCTCGCGTATCTCTGGCATTTTTACTTTATCTCTTGAATTGTCACATTTCTCAGTTTCAAATCATAAAATGTTTTGGCATCTTTAAATTGATTTTAAATTGATATTATGCATCTAGATATATCATGTATATCTATCTAGGTACGTAGCAAAAGTTATGATTCTAGAAAAGTCAAAATATCTTATAATTTGGAACAGAGTGAGTAGCATTTGCTACGTCCAATTTAAAATAGCCACAAAATATTTAGGATGATAATTTTCAGACTGCTAATTATTACAAATAGTAACAAGCCTACATGTATTTAACATACCTATTTTACATCAATAGAGATCTAAACACAACAGCTCATCTTTTATAAGTTGTTTGGTTTCCCGTATTTGGTTGCCACGCCAAGTAGTGGCGCCGCTGAAGTTTGTCACAGAGAAATACTGCGTCTAAGGTTTGGCAAGAAAATGAACCGTACGTGTTGTGGCTGCCACAGCTTTGTAAAACACCAAACAACACCTTCGATTTCCATGACCATCACCAGTTATGTACGTGGCGTGGTGTGGCTTACAACCAAATATGCTTACACAAGCTAGAACGATGGTTCAAGGTTCGCGTCTTGTTTCTCACCTCTTTGGCCCCGTTCGGCTTACCTTATAATTCGAGCTGTTCGGCTTCTTTTTTCAGCCGGAACAGTATTTTTCTCTCACAACAATTCAGCTGAAACAGTGTTTTCAGCCAATTTCAGCAAAGCGAACGGGGCTATGCTTACGCAACCAAATGGGTTAGCCTCTCTTTTTCTTCACCACTACTAGTATTGTTTTGTTCTCCCTTTCTTATCACGACACACTACCCCGTCCACTTTTTTTTTTGACAACAAGCCCAATCCACGTTGGTTCGCGCCCCTGCCCCTGCCGAAGATCACTCGTCCTGCCCGCGCTAGCATTGAAGCTTGTCTCACTTGCGCTCGTGTTCCGCCGGAAGACCGCAAACTAGAGATTTGGCCACACGCCTCTTCAAAAGCCGCATGACAACAGCTGATGAGGACATCACCGGCTCGATGACCATTTAACCACTTGTAAACCAAAGACAATCATTTTACGTGAGACTTATCATTGATACATCGCATGAATTAGCGTTGCACCATGAAGTTCGTATATTTTCATTTTTTTAGAATTACGTGCAGGGATGAAGGGAATGTTCGATTGCATATTGAAAGCATGAAAGGTTAATAAAGTTGTTTGGGACCAAATCCAATTATTTCTATCGTCCTTCACCAGACCCTTACCTCAATTTTAGCCTAAGGAAACAAAGAGTCCAAATCCAGCGTGTTTTAGAAGTTCGGTTCGGACTACCGAACAGTTCAAACTTGTGACGGTTACCACGGCTTCGTACGGATCCGATTTGAACGCTCTAGCACTTCATCGATAGCTTATCAAGTCTACTTTCCAATGGATCCGTAGTTTTGTACTCATATCAATATCTCATCAGATTTTTGCGCAGTCATCGTTTAATGTCTTCATGTCGCCGAGGCACGTCCAAGATTCACGGAGGATTCGTTTTATAAATAAATTTGGTTTTGCTGGTTTCTTTTCTTTCTTCTTTTTTGCGCAAGTTGCTGGTTTCTAAGGCTAGTCTCAATGGGGTTTAATCAGAGTTTCATGAGCAATAAATATGCTGATGTAGCACCGTATTGACGAAGATAGAGATGATGTAAATTCTATAGGAGTAGAGAGAGTTTCGTGGGGATAAAACTTTTCTGCACTGTTTCTAAAATATAGATGTGTTGCAATCAGGGCCACGAAAACCATTATTGAGGCCTTGTTTAGATGCCATCTAAATTCCAAGTTTTTTCATTCTCTCTCCATCACATCAATTTTTAGCCGTTTGCATGGAGTATTAAATGTAGGTAAAAAAATAACTAATTACACAGTTTAGTTGAAAATCATGAGATGAATCTTTTGAGCCTAATTGGTCCACGATTAGACAATATTTATCAAATAAGACGAAAGTTGTACTATTTATTGGGTTCAAAAAATTTACAAAATGAACAAGGCCTGAGACTGACCTGATTGTGTGTTGTTGGAGAGTTCACAAGGGTTAGGACGGGGAACATCCCAATATACAATGATTCGTTTGAGGCCTCGTTCACTTTGTAAATTTTTTTGAATTCGATAAATAGTACTACTTTCGTCTTATTTGGCAAATATTGTCCAATCATGGACCAACTATGCTCAAAAGATTCATCTCATGATTTCCAACTAAACTGTGTAATTAGTTATTTTTTTTACCTACATTTAATACTCCATACAAACGGCTAAAAATTAATGTAATGAAGAGAGAGTGAAAAAGCTTGGAATTTGGATGCCATCTAAACCAGGCGTTAGTAAGTGGCACCGGCCTTCTTGTCTTGTCAAACGGAAGCTTAAACTATGATGAGTACGGTGGGCCCCGGACGACCGCTGCCAGAAGATGGACGTGATGTCGTCGTCGCTGCCGATACGGCGCCATACCAAATAGCAGGTGGCCACGTGGCCCGGCCGTCAACACAGCCTACAGGGGCGCGGAGGCAGCGAGGGGACGACGTACAGACGTACTACTACAGTAACGTGGGTGCTAGCGAACGTATTAGTAGTGGACGTATCTGGGCCGGCCCAGCCCAACATGAGGTCCTCTCAGTCCAGTCCAGTCGAGTCCACCAGGCAGAAGAAGCGAGAGGCGAGGAGACCCCACGTCCCACGCGCCGCGCTCCTCCACTGGCCGACCGACACGTCACCGGTGTCTTTCCCGTCCTGCGCTCCCGTGTCAGGTCCAGTCACGGGCCGGCAGGCCCCCACCGGCAGCCGGCACGCGTGCGTCACTCGGTACTGGTCTACTCGCTCAGTCCCGCAGCAAGTGCACTTATATGGTTCAATTTTTTTCCCAAAATAAACGTACCTTTAGACATAGGACAAACTAACTTCACTTATCTTTTTCTATTTTTTCTCTTTCCAAAGTATAATGACTACAACTTTGTAGGGACACATATGTAATTTTTTAACTAACTTTGATCTTTTTACCTAAACTCAACTCTAGAAGTGCACTTATTTTTGCCCGTACTCGTACTGGGCAGTAGCACCGCCGCACGGCCCGCACCGCACGGCGGCCGGCGGCCACGGCCATCGGCCCAGATGCCCCCAGACGAGCCGTCCCGTCGCTCGCGGCCCCTCCGGCGCTGCGCTGCGTGCGCGTCGGACTCACGTCCGAGCCTCCGAGGCCGCCGCAGCCCGCACTGCATGGTGCATGCTCCTGCTGGCGCACAGGCGCACAGCGCACTCGTAGTAGTAGTACACCGGCAGGCAGGCGTCAGGTCCCGTCGTGTCGGCACGGCACCGCCGACTAGGACTAGTCCAGCAGCAGTGCACTGCAGCCCCGTCCCGTCCCGTCGCCGCCCCGGCTTTCCACACCACGCGAGTAGGCGACGCCCAGCGGCGCAGGCCGCGCGCCCGCTCGGTGACCTGGTGGTGGGGCCGCCGGGGCAGTGGGCTGGCTGGGCCTCGGTGCTGCTGCTGAGCGGCCGCGCGGGGAACGGGCAGTAGCACCTGGTGGTCCCAGGCAGGCAGGTGGGTCCGGGGAGGAACGCGTGGATGGGATAGAGCGCGGGCGCGCGGCCGGCGAGCACGGTAACTTCTCTACGGAAGCGGGCGTCCGTGTGTCTGGGCTGGCCTCTGCCTGCCGGTAAAAGTAAAACCGACAACGCAACGGCGTGGTGGTCCTGCCCCCGTGCACTGGAGTGGCTGGTGGTGCACCGCACTGTAGTAGGGCTCGGGGCTCCCCTCGCCGTAGGCCCCCTGGGCCTAGGCCATCCACTCCCACGCGACACGCCGGCCCGCTCCCGAGTTGTCACTGGAACGGCGAGGTCGCCCGTCCGTCTCGACTCGGACGGCCCGGATCGTCCGCACGTGGCGCACGGGAGGGCTATTGGCTCAAGGGGACGACGGACGAATCCTCGTACTGCCAGCCGCGAGCCCACGAGAGGGGGGTGCTGCCCTTGCACGTGCTGGGCACCGTCAGCTTCGGTCAAGATCGTCGTCCCGGCTCTGATGCCGTTTGCCGCGCACGGCGCACTCGGTCAAGATCGTCGTCCTCGGTCCTCTCCTCCTTGTGGCAGGCTGATTGTGTTGGCCCGTGCAGTTTTAATCTGAGATGGGGTAAACTAGTGCGATTCAAGCAAGTTTCGAAATGGTCCGTGCAGGAGAAAGTACAATTTACTCTCTTTTTTATGCAAAGTACAAGTTACTCTTAACTAACCTTAACTTAATTTGTTCGGTGGAAAAAAGCTTAACACTCAATAAACACATACTTTTATATGTTTTTTATAAGGTACTTTTATATGTTTGACAATGCCAAAACCGTATAGTAGGTGCCGTGATGGGACCGGGACTTAAACACGGTTGGAGGTCTTGTTGCAAAAGGATGACTGCTATAGGTCGTGGTGTCGTATGGCAAGACTATATGACGTCGATTTATTTGGCACCAAGCATCAACCAACACCATCGTTCACATTTCACTCGACTTCTTCGCCAACATGATGCAGTGTCACTATCTTGTCCATATATACCACATTCATATAAAAAAAACATCGCATCTATGCATCGACAAAATGTTTTCATTGCTTGAATGCAAGAGCGCAAATATGTCATTTATGTCGTATGTCCATTACAAATACTAGCATCCATATTAATACCACAATACAGATAGTACTAAAAATCATCACTACTCCTCTCGCATACAACTATTCCTTTTTAGTTCCAAAAGAGAATACATGTACATATATAAAAAGGTGACTAAAATTTGCAACAATGCTAAGAGGAATACATGTACATGCTTCCACATTGACTATATATAACAATAATTTCATCAAACATAATCAAATCTCAGTCTATAGCCCTTTTACTCGTATTAGGATTATGTCAGTGAAAAAATGACCAACAAATAAATATTTGTAGTTTTGCCGTGCGTTGTGATCGGATGTGGCCTAGCACTCAATGACACATGATTTATACTGGTTCAGGCAACGTGCCCTACGTCCAGTTTTAGTCGGTCGGTGACTTTATTTACGAGCCAGTGTGCTCAAGTTTGTTTGTGAGGTTACAAACGAGTAGAAATGAGAAGGGGGGTGTTAAAGGCCCGGTCGGACTCTGAATCGAATGGAAGAGAGTGATGGATGCTCTAACGTGCGCTAAGTATTAGAGCGTATGCTCTGAGTAGCTTTCGAGTTCTAGAGCTATTGAGTTGTTCGAGTTCTCAGGTCCTCGAGTGCTCGAGTCCTCTAGCCTCCTCCCGTTGGGAGAGAGCGCATCCCCTTTTATAGTTGAAAGGGATGGCCTTACAAGTCAGAGAGAAAGAAAGAGAGTGTATACGTGTCTTATCTAGTCTTGTTGCCTGTTGCTGGTTAGTGCAGATGGTCGCCAACGCTTACAATCTTGTTTATGTATGGACACATCTGGCGAGCTTTCTACCGTGTTACGCTGGTATGCGGCAAACGCCGGCGCCTACAATCATTTGCTTTGCGCTCCGACGCTGGTCTCGGAAGGTTGTATAGTGCCCGTCGGCATGGTCTGGTGGCACCGCCTCCTGCAGTCGCAGAGCATGGTAGGGTACGGTCCCTCGATATTGCGTTGACTTGAGCGTCTTACCTTATCTGCTCGCTTAATCTCCGGCCCTCACCGAAGCAAGTCCCCGGTCGATCGTTTTAATCGGTCCCGACCGTGTTTGGCCGGAAAAGAACAACAGCGAGAGGTCTGGCGTATCCTCGATCGGAGTCGGACTGCGATCCCACCTTGGCTAGGCCTTCCGGTTGGGGACCGGATCGTGGTCTCGGTCTGTCATTATATATCTGGGCCGCCCCATGCGCGAGTTGTCGCTGTACCGCCTGCTGGGTCGGGTTTTGCAGGGAAGCGGGTCCGTTGGGGACCCTGGGTTTATGAACCCGACAGATTATATATGAATATAATGTCGGTAAAAGAGGCAAAACTAATGGACAAAACCTGAGAGAGAGTAAAGGAAGGTCACCTTGTATAATCGGATTCCACCTAGATTCCCTTTGATCTAGTCCCGGTTTTTATGAATCTACATAGGGAAGGTCAAGAAGGAGAGAGAATAGGGAGGAGAGATGCTGCTAAGGATACAACAAAAGGGAGTAGTTGGCTTGGTGTGTGTAAGTGGTTAGAGCATCTCTAGCAGTTCCCCAATATCACTTGTCATCCCCATAAAACTGTCATATTGGGAGAGATAGCATATTTTTCCTTCTCCAGCAGTCCCCCAATAGCCCTCCTTTTTTTTGGTGGCCATCAATATCTTGCCCATCTCCCCTCAAATGAAGGGGGAGTTGCATCTCCCCCAATAGTCTGGGGCCCGCAAAAACCGCCACTCCTTCCACTTGAGGATGTGCCACCCGCGGCGATGGTGGCAGAGTGCGCGCCGCCATGGCCTTCTCCTGTGCCACCGAGTGCACACTCCCTCGGCTGCGCGTGGTGGGTGGCCCGCCGCCTCTCCCTCTCGGGTGCCGACGACAGAGTGTCGTGGCCCGCGGCCTTGCCCGCCTCCTTCGGTCGTAGATCCGGTGAGGTTAGCCGGAGCCCCGCCGGCGTGCTCACGACAATGGCCATGGGCGGGCGAAGGGGCGCCATGGCTGGCTGCGCGAACGCGGCAGGTGGTTTCGGTTGCGGTGGTGGACGCTGAAGCCAAGGCCGCGAGGCCTGCGACAAGTGGAGCTAGCGCGGGCGCCTCCGACGCGACGCGATGCGATGCGATGAGAAGATGAACGGAAGAGAAAAGGAAAGGAAAAAAATTAATTGATACTGACAGGTGGGTCCCACATTTTTTAGAGAGTTTTTAGTGATCTGCTGGAGCATCTCCCCCAATAATCTAAAAAAATAGTATTGGTGACCACCAATACCATCCTATTGGAGATGAAGTATTAGGAGACTGCTCAAGATGCTCTTAATAGGGTGTTTGGTGTGAGAAATTGGTTAGTCCATCTTTTCGTTCCTTATTTCTTTGTTTAATTTGTGGAATGCAATGGATTGATGTATCATCAACTCATTCCTCTCATAAGTTAATAATTAGTACTTGTATAAAAAATGAAGTCATTCCACCAAATTTATGGAACTAAAATTGTTTGCTTCTTTGAACAAACACACTTTCCACACGGCACCACAACCTTTAATGCCATCAGAACACAACACGACAGGCACCATACTTTACATGCACGGTGCAGTGTACAATGATTTTCGGATGGTTTTGGATGATTTAATAGTGTTCTTTGAGAGAGAATAAGCTGAAATAACGTGAAACAAGCTGAAAGTGTATCAGCCGAACAGTGGGTGTCATGCAGTGCCCGGTCACACGTAAGCATGGTGTCGTGCTAGTAATTGCCGTATTAACAAAGCACAACACCAAAAAGCATATGGTACCACCAACAATGCTAAATAATGCCAGTTTTTGAGCGCTCACACATTAATGGTAGCATCAACAATGTTAATAGTATAACATATGGTTTAATGATAACTATTGCTAAATCTTTTTTTACCATTGCTTGCTTAACATTGTCGAATATTGTCAATTTTCAAGGGTCACACAATAATGATAGATCAATAATATATCAACTATCGATGTCATGTATTCTATATTTACTTCTAGCCTCGGATACTAAAAGAATGTCTCATTAAACTATCTCATAATTAACAAAAAATATATAAAATAATTATAAATATTTATATTATTAGATTTCTTATGAAATATTGATATCGGTTATAGTGTTTAAACTAAGTACTCATATAGTCGTACTTTGAACTTCCTCCATACCTAAATAAATCAATTTATATAAATCATTTTTATATTTAACTAAATTTATATAAAAGAGTATAAATATATATGCTATCAAATAAACACATGGTGTATACATTTATACAAATTTGGTTTCATAAATCTTGATGCTATTTTTCGTAGAAATTCGTTCAAACTTAGAAAGATTTAACTTAAGATAACTTTAAGAATTGATTTATAGTAGGACGAATGGAGTATTAATTTTGAGACTACACACTGTTCGCTTGAACTTATCAGTCCGGCCTATCAGCCATGATATAATATTTTTTACTCACAACAAAACAGTATCAGCCGACTTATCAGCCGTAAAACCACCAGCCGAATAGAAAAATGGTAATACTAAACTGTACTTCCATATTTTGGTGGTTTGTTCCTCATATGATGCATTAGTAAACTTATTTAAGGTTCGCACCATTATCGCGACGTAAAAAAAAAACCACATATAAAACTATGCGAAAGATCATCACGACGTGTACGCATGGCGTATCAAAGCATCCACTTGCAACACTTTCTCCAAAATAATCCACATGGACCTTCTTGGAGGAGTCAGTCAAAACTTCAAAACCTTCAAAGTCACAATACATTCAGATTTATTCTTTTTTTAATTAATAAAGAGGGTATAAAGGGGAAGAAATAAATCTACCCTTTTTGAGATATTTTTTTACTGTCTCCGAGAAGCTATTCTTGGCTTCCCCATATAAACCAAAAGAGAAAAAAAAGGGGGAAAAGAAAGCAAGGAGCACCGCACCACGCCACTCCACTCCACTCCCCTCCCCTCGATCCAGCCATGGCGGCCTAGGCCCCCCTAGGGTTCCCCGTCAGCCCCACCCAGGCGCCTCCTGCCGCTTCCGCCGCTCCCCACCCGCTGCCCGATTCGGCCGCCGGCGTCGAATGGGAGGCCACCTGGTGCTCGGAGCCCGGTGTGACCGCGCGCTGCCGACGCGGCCGGAGGTTCCCTGAGCTCGGCGGCCGAGGGGGACTCTCGGCGGCGGCGCCGGCGCTGCCTGAGGCGAGGGGGGTTAGGGCGCGTGGCTGGTTCGGGGCGCGCCGCGCGTGCAATGGGGGATTTGAGGCGGTTCCTGTGAGTCACCGCGGCGGGTCTTGGTTCTGCGAGCGCGTGGCCTGTGCTCGTGAAGGTGGGGTTGTCTAGCTGCTCCTTGATCGGATGAGCTCAGCTCCGGCGTCCCGCCTCGGTTTCTCCGCGCGTTTGCTCCGTCGGTTGCCCAAAACCCAGCTTCTTGGATCAGGCCGTGCTCATTTCAGCGCTTTTCTTCGGTTCTTTGGGGAAAGGCTGGAGCTTTGAGGTGTCGCCTGGCGAGGTGCGCAGCCGAGGATTTCCGGCGATGAGGTCGGCCATGGCGCGCGTTTGCCGCGACAGTCCGGGGTTCGGGTAGCCGGTTCTTGAAGCGGATTTGGCTGCTGCTGCGTGGGAAGGGGGAGGCGGCGGCGGCAGCAGCAGCAGCAGAGGAAGGGTTGCTCTGAAGCGGAAGGGAAGCAGGCTGGCATTGCTGCCGGGAGCATGGTGAGGTGCTAAGGAGGAGCAGCTCCCGCAGTCGGTCATTCTCGCCGGCCGCACCTTGGTGTTCTTGTCCAAGGTCGTACTGGTGGTGGGAGATGAACCTCTCCCCGCCCAAGATGTCGGAGCCATCCCCTGAAAGTGACGGTATATCTCATATCACAATTTCGGCATTGATTCAGTTCAGAACTTCTCAACTTGTGTTACTCTCTGCATGATTTAGTGGATTATGCAATGCTGTCATTGTGCATTGATGTTTCCAAACAAATAAGCAAAAATGGCTTGCTCTTGTATATGCATGATTACATTCATTCAATCATATTCTTCACTTGCACAAAAGAAAAGGTTCATGCATTGCTCGGCTTCACTCATGGTTCACATGTTGTAGTATTATTGGTATTCACTGAACCTCCTCTTGTCTGTAGCCAAGTACGAATAGTAGCTTCACATGAACTCTGCTTTCTGGTGGCTTCTTGTTCCACTCATGTGTGTTTGGCATTTTGCAGGGGAACAAAGGTGTCTGAACTCAGAGCTATGGCATGCATGCGCAGGGCCCCTTGTGTCCCTGCCTGTGGTTGGGAGCCGGGTCGTCTACTTTCCTCAGGGCCATAGTGAGCAGGTCGGTCACTCAGCAGTATCTTTGAATAAACTAGATATGGCCGAGTTTGTTGACTAAGACTATCAGGTCTGCAAATGAGGAATAAAAAGAATCACTTGAGCTGCTAACTTTCTGGTTCTTTTGGTTGTATGTGTCAAAAGAATCGAGTAGACATAACACTTCTGAAGATTCAACTGAAAAATTACTTTGCCCAACTATACACATAAAGATATCTTGTATTCAAATAATCAAATTTGTTCAAAGACTGTTATCGCTTGAAGTCGCTTTTTAAGTCAATCTAGTTTTGCACAGGTTTATTTGTAGAGAATCACTTGCTCTCGTGCCTTTGTGCTTAAGAGGTTCTTTCGTTTGATTTTATTTCCATGCAGGTTGCTGCATCAACTAATAAAGAAGTTGATGCTCAGATCCCAAACTACCCAAACCTACCTCCGCAATTAATCTGCCAGCTTCATAATGTCACAATGCATGTAAGTTTGAACATAGTGGATCACCATCTAGTCTTTTAAGAAAATTATGAAATAATTTCTTTGTTAATGCAGGCTGATGCGGAGACTGAAGAGGTTTATGCCCAGATGACACTGCAACCATTGAGCCCGGTATTTTACCAATTACCACTTAGCTCTATGCTTTTAACCTGGATTCTCATGAAAATTTCATTCAAAAGGTATTACAATGTCTATACACTCATCAATTGATTCCATGTACAGGAAGAGCAAAAGGGACCTTTTCTTCCAATTGAGTTGGGTGCTGGTAGTAAGCAGCCAACTAATTACTTCTGCAAGACATTGACTGCAAGTGACACTAGTACCCATGGTGGATTCTCTGTTCCGCGCCGAGCAGCAGAGAAAGTCTTCCCCCCATTGGTTTGTTTTTTTTTAAGATTTCAACTGAAAATTAAGTTTCGTTAAGCTCGATAGATTTATAAGAAATGGTTGTGCTTTTCTCTTGAAAAAAACTAATGCATTCGACCATGTGCAGGATTTTTCACAACAGCCTCCAGTGCAAGAGCTGGTTGCAAGAGATCTGCATGATAATGAATGGAAATTTCGCCACATTTTTCGTGGTATGTACTTAAATTATGGTAGCAAATGGAGAAATGATGCTGTTTGATTAGTGAACAAGTGGAATGGAACTTTAGCAATCAATAAGGAAGGGCGAAAAAATGTTACATTAGCGGCTTTCACTACTTACATATCTCAACTGTCTGTGAACAAGTGTGATTTTGCTTAGGTAGTTAAGTTAATTTAGTTAGTCTGGAAAATGTTGTATTGATAATATTTCTTTACCTCTGGATGTCTAGTGAAGTTATTGATACACCAAATTATATTCTGGGCTGTCTTGGTTGTTCTTTTTGTATCTTAATGTGATGCTTTGGCCCTTGCATGTGTTGTGCAGGTCAGCCAAAAAGGCATCTACTGACGACTGGTTGGAGTGTTTTTGTAAGCGAAAAGACTAGTAGCAGGGGATTCTATCATATTTATCTGGTATTTTCTACTTTTAATTTGAAACTGAACTTTATTCTAGTTTGGTTAAAGCTTCTGAGGTTGCTGACATGGCAAATCCTTTTGTTTTTTTCTTTTCACCAGGAATGATAATAACCAACTTCTCTTGGGAATTGGTCGTGCAAATCGTCCCACAGACTGTAATGCCTTCTTCTGTGCTATCAAGCGATAGCATGCACATTGGTCTTCTTGCTGCAGCAGCTCATGCTGCAGCCACAAACAGTCGTTTCACTATTTTCTACAACCCCCGGTACGTATGCTATGATCATACCATATTATACTTACCTTGTTTGTGCACTTAAGTAACTTGGTCACCCTTTGTCAGGGCTAGCCCTTCTGAGTTTGTCATTCCACTGGCTAAGTATGTGAAAGCTGTTTACCACACGCGTGTGTCTGTTGGAATGCGGTTTCGGATGCTTTTTGAGACAGAGGAATCAAGTGTCAGACGGTGAGTTTAAACTTATGAAGTGTACACAGCATGGGAACTATGTGCGTCTTATGGTTGCCTCTTCTTTCAGATACATGGGTACGATAACAGGCATAAGCGATCTGGACTCAGAGCGCTGGCCAAATTCACACTGGCGTTCTGTGAAGGTGAATTCTTTAAAACTGTTATATGGTTACAATTTACAAAACAATGGTCGATATCTTGTCTAGTGAAATTTTAATTATTCAATTTTCAAAGCCATCTGTTGTTGCATGCTCTATGTACCCTATGTGAGAACATTTTTTGCGTCGTAATGATGGTTTCTTTTCCTTTGGGTTATTGATACTTAGGTTGGTTGGGATGAGTCTACAGCTGGTGATAAACAGCCAAGAGTTTCACTCTGGGAGATTGAGCCACTGACAACCTTTCCGATGTACCCAACTGCCTTTCCATTAAGGCTAAAGCGTCCGTGGGCTTCAGGACTACCTATGTTCAATGGTAGGCTAACTATTGACCAGAACACCCAGTATTCATGGTAACGGTAACCAATTTCTCTTTGTATATGCAGGTGGGAGGAGCGATGAGTTCGCTCGTTATTCTTCTCTCATGTGGCTTCGAGATGGAAACAGAGGGGCTCAGTCACTGAACTTCCAGGGACTTGGAGCATCACCATGGCTTCAGCCAAGAATAGATTATCCATTGTTGGGTCTGAAGCCAGATACTTACCAGCAGATGGCTGCTGCCGCACTGGAAGAAATTAGAGCTGGGGATCATTTGAAGCAGACATCTTCTTTCCTGCCAATCCAACAGACTCAAAATTTGAATGGTGGATTAGATCCTTTGTATGGAAATCCTGTTCTACAGCAGATGCAGTTCCAATCTCAGCAGTCACCCCTGCAAGCTGTGCAGCAAGGTTATGGTCAGAATGCAAGCGACTCTGGGTTCCTTCAAAATCAGCTGCAGCAGCTGCAGCTGCAAAAAGCAGCAGGAGCCACCACCACAGCAGCAGCAGCAGCAGACACAAGTTCTGCAGCAACAATCGATCAGGAAATGCAACAGCACCTCTCAGCTAGTTGTCATGATATTGCTAATGTAGCTTCTGGTGTGTCCGAGTCTGGATCTGCTTGTCAATCACAATCTTCTTTGCTTTCTGGGTCATCGTTCTATCAACAGAACATCTTTGATGGAAACAATGGTCCAGATCTGCATCTGCACAACAGTTTCCACAACTTTTCAAGCCAAGAGTCCTCCAACCTTCTTAATCTCCCAAGAAGTGGCCAATTAATGGTATCAGAGGGATGGCCTTCAAAGAGGTTGGCCGTGGAATCTCTTGCTGGTCATGAGCTCCAACCTGTGCAGCCCAAGCTTGAGAAAGTGAATCACCAGAGTAATGTACCTCACATTTCTGGCACCTTGCCGCCACTGTCAGCAAGAGACGGTTCTAGTGCCCAGGCTTGTGGTACAAATGTTCAGAGTCACCTGCTTTCATCATCATTTGCAATCCATGATGGCTTGTCAACCGTCAGGAGTGGTGGTGTTGGCAGTGGAACTGATGCGACAACCATAGCTTCGTTGAGATATGGTGACATGAATTTGCTACCTGAAAACTCCATAGCAACTTCCAGTTGTTTGGGTGAATCAGGAACCTTCAATTCTCTTGACAATGTTTGTGGTGTAAACCCATCACAAGGTGGAACCTTCGTGAAGGTATGTGTTCCTACTTGTGCTGTATATTTCTTCAAATCCATCAAAGGGCATGTGAAGTTGCCAAGTTAGTAACTGCAAGAGCACTTTGTTTTGCGGAGGTAAAAAGGTCCATTTTGGTGTGTTGTCGGGTTGATGGTTCACAAAGCAGTCAATTAAATCTTCAAGTTCTACGCTTGTCGAGTGATCTTCAAGTTCTTCAAGTTCGTAACTGCATCACATCCTTTTGACGCCTTCTGTTCCCTTTTTGTTCCACCACTAGGTTTACAAATCAGGGTCCCTCGGGAGATCGCTCGACATCACCAGATTCAGCAGCTACTACGAGTTACGTAGCGAGCTCGAGCGGTTATTTGGTCTTGAAGGCCAACTGGAGGACCCTGTAAGATCAGGCTGGCAGCTTGTATTCGTCGACCGGGAAAATGATATTCTTCTCGTCGGCGACGACCCGTGGCAGTACGTGCATGCAGAACTATCTTCCTTTTGCGTATACATATTTATCTGGTCTGAATTTTCACTCAGCGTGATCATCGTTGGACCCCATGTTTTTTCCAGGGAGTTTGTGAATAGCGTATGGTGCATAAAGATCCTCTCGCCACAAGATGTGCAGCAGATGGTCCGCAGCGGAGGCGACCTTCTGTCTACACCTGGAGCGAGGATGCTGCAGAGCAGTGTCTGCGATGACTATTCTGCAGGCCACGACATGCAGAACATCACCAGCAGCATTGCACCTGTGGTGCCTCTGGACTACTGAGACTGAGATGAAGACCGGAATCTGAAGTTCTGAACCAAAACCAGCAATTCAGCACCGGAGGATTGCCATCTACAAGTCGTTTCAGTTCCTATGATCATCTCTCAAGTCCTGTTGGTCAGAAATAACCTAGCCGTTAATATAGCTAGATGATCCATTGTATCATTATGGTAATGGACATGTTGTACGGTAGCTACTGTAGCTATGAAAGTATGAATGCAGGCACTCACTGTAGAGGTGACCTAGCCCTGTAGTTCTCTCTATTATCTACGCATATCTAAAACAGATGGTTCCATGTGGCGCCTAAACTATTGAAACCTGTCACTGCTGCCTATGTTAATTTTTTTCAACTCAATTTGCGGTTGTTTGATCTTGCTGCATGCCATACAAGTCAATTTTTTTGTCCTGTTTGTAATTCAGTAGTCTGTACCAGGCTTTGACCTGTTAATCCGCGACTTTCATGTCTACCAAACAACGATTTCTATGGAATCAGGGTATAGCATAGAAGAGGAACCCATTTTAGGGATTCCTAAGCTCCCTCTTAGCCCCATGTGCCATTAAGAATGCTGGAATCATCTTAACACTTGAAGGGTCAATCTCTGAAATTTCTAGTAATCAGAGTAATTTATTCGATGGTTTTACTATGGCTTGGATTAAAAAAAAATAGTAACATGTGTTTGTAAATAGTGAGATTGCTCCAGAATTGACAGTGGCTTCTCCTGGTTCTACTAGAAATGTACACCAGTTAAAAACAGAACTTTACACATCTGCAGCATTTGGCTACAGCCCAGATTGCTTGCTAGAACTCAGTTTGAGTTCAGAATTGACAGTGTCTCCTGGTTCTAGAAATGTACACCAGAACTTTTACACATCCGCATTTGGGTACATCCCAGTTCTGTCGATGAGAACATTCCCTATTTCCCTATTTGGGTGACAATCTAGTTCGCAGATTGTACAGACAGGGCAAGCACCACATTTCTCAGTGGCCCGACGTGAATGCGCTCACGCTGCATTTTTTTTCTCGAATAAGCAAAAGTTTTACGTATCATTGTATTAAGATCGAGAAGGGTGCGTGGTTACAACGACGCGCCACCGCAATGGCACACTGGGGATGGTGAAAGGATTTAATCACTGCCCTGCGCTCACGCTGCAGTCAGTCGAAGAGCTAGGCTGAAGCTGAAAAACTCCGGAGCTGATCGCAGGAACCAGGTCAAAGCATGCATGGAAGTAGGGAGAGTAGACATGCTTGCATGCAACCGGTCAAAGCCACAAGAATTCAGCTAGGAAGCATTGCCAGCTGATTTGCAAATTGTTTGTTTAGATGTATGATTCTGCATTTTCTACCATCAATGGCCCCTGGAATCACTAATATTTACATAGGCAAGCAGTGGAGAATGGAGCCTGCTCCAACAGACTACCGGCTGTCCTGATCCTTGGCAACAACACTTGTTCCATTTAGTTTCTGAACATGTAGGGCGGTTTAAAGAGTAGATTATCTGAACATCAGATGGCTGCAGGCCAAACTAGACAACCAGCTCAGGATTACACAAAGGCAGACGGCATCTAAACCACAGCGACGAGCAGCTAGCAGTGCCCTGGGACTGGGATAAACATGAACCAGGGATGAATTTTCATGTACTTACAAATTAAGCCCATGCCATTGCCCTGATATACTGCCATCAGCTATGGAATTGGAACAGAGAATCAGAGATGAATGTCAGCCCTTGTTCCAGAGCGTGGTAGCTACACTAGAGGAACCAGGCGCAGCATCGCCGGAGCCGGCACGGCTCACGGCCGGTCTTGCGGATGCGCTCCACCTGCTGCGCCAGCCGGGGCGCCTGCCGGCTCCGGCGCGCCTCCACCCTCGCCTGCTTCCCCTCCACCTTGTGGCTCAGTGCCGACAGCCTCCTGGCCAGGTCCTGCTTCGCCCGGGCTTTCATCTGCTCTGCCTGTGCCTGAACCATTCGGTCCAATATACTCATCAGAGTGAGAATTGCTGAATAGGAGTACTCCATCCATGAATTCGAACCAATGCAGCTAACAGAGAATGTTGTTCAGAGATTGATTGAAAGAAGGAAACTCGAAAAAGTTCAGAAATAGAAAAATTGAATGAATGGAACTGACCTCGGCCTGCCTCAGCTTGGCTTCGAATTTGGATTTCTGTAAGCTTTCCCACTCCTGTATCTTCACCTCCTTCCTCTGGTAACTGATCATGCACATGATAAGGAATTAGAAGTCACTCAATTAGTATGTGATCAGAACAATTCCTGGAGATTTCTTTACCAAGTTAGCATCAGCAACAGAGATTCAAAGCGTTTTCAATGAAAATTCTTGTCAAGGGGAATTTTATTTTTTTTAAATTTTTTTTTTGCTCACCGTGACGCGAGTTTACACTTTTTGGACGCTTCCCATGCCGTGGCGCGAGCTTCGAACGCCTTCCTCTTGATCTCCTCGTCGATGTCACCGGCGCCCTTCTCCGGGGAGGCGGCGGCGAGGAGGCTCTCCTCCTTGCTGGCCCACGACGCGATGTTCATCTTGCCGAGCTGCAGGCCGAGCGCGGCGATCTCGCGCCGCGTCCTGAGCCGGAGCTCCCGTTCCGACGCGGAGGCCGACGACGACGCCGACGCGCAGCCGCCGCCGCCCCTGGGGCTGGACGGCACCGAGCAGAGCGGGCTGAGCGACGGCGTGACGGCGCCGGCAGGGGTGCCGCTCCGCGACTGCTCCTGGCTCGCGATCGGCGTCATCTCCGTCCCGACGTCCCGCATCGACACCGACGGCGCGAAGCGGAGCTTCTTGTGCGGCGGCTTGCTCGCCGGCCCGCTCACCGACGACGACGGCGACGAGGACTTGGACGACAGCTCGGTCAGCGCGCTCGCGGCGCCGCGCCGCTGGCCCTGGACGCCGTCGCGGACTCCGGCGCGACGCGGCCGCCGGGGCATGGCGGCGCCGCCGCGCGCGGCGGGCTTCTTGGAGAAGATGGGGTTGGAGTGCACGACGTGGCGCCCCGCGATCCACTTCTCCGCGTCGTTCCACTTGGATGGCACCTGCTGCCGGAAGAACGGCGCGGACACCGCCACCGTCGTAGCCGGCACGGCCGCCCTCTCCTCCTTGCAGAACTCGAAGCGCCGCCGGCGCCGGCTCCGTTCTCGATGCCGCTGTCGCTGCCACTCCCACCGCAGCTGCGGCTGCGCGCCGCCCTGCCGTGGCTGGCGTCGGAGCGCGACCGGGAAGAGTCGGACCGGTGGTCCTTGGGGTACTCTGCAGGGCGCAGGCGATCGAATCGCTCACTTCGCTCATCGAGCAACGTGCGGCTGCTTGCGAAAGACGGAATCTTTACGCGTGGCGTCAGAGTGTCAGAGGGAGCAACGCACCTTCGTCGAGCTCTTGCGGCAGGAGGCTGTTGTTGGGGTGGTCATCGTCGTCGTCGAGCCTCGACGGCGGCGACGCTCGCGGCGACTTGCGAGTAGACTCGTCCTTGTGGCCGGAGCCCAGCAGCTTCATCCTGAGCTTGGTTGGAGAGATGACCCCCATCTGCATCCAGAATCCATCCATCACACAAGAACAGTATCCATGGGAGTATACTAGTAAAAATCTCAGCACTACTCCAGCATTAGCAGATTTTTAAAGCGGTCAATGACGCAGTTACCGAGAGGCAATTGATGTGTGTGTGTTTGTGTGTGACAGTGTGAGAGAGAGGGGAATCAAGGAAGGAAAGCTGTAAAATGTAGTGGTAGCAGTACTTTTAATGTCACTGTAAATGGCTGCTAGTAAATCTGTGCCTTCTGCCTTGCTGCTGCAGATAACACATAGTGTATGGGTCAACTATCTGCTCCATACAGTACCAGAAATAAAGCTGTTCATTTGACCCAACCCAACCTCAGCAAAAAAATGACGAAGAGGGAGAATATGGCATCACAGGCCATCAGCAAAGCTTCAGCGAAGGCAGGAAGAAGAAGACGAAGAACTGACGCAAGAACCGAAGATAAATGGACAAGTTGCAACCATACAGTACGTGCTACTGCTAGTCTGTAATCCATTTGCTTCAGTCGCATTGCTACTCCACTCACCTCTCTCTCTCTCTCTCTCTCTTTTTTTTTTTTTTTTTTTGAGAATACTCCACTCACTACTCTAGTACCAAGAACGACAACAATCCGGAAGCGAAGCGATGCAGAGCATTGGAAAGCAATGGCCGTTACCTGAACTTTGTGTATCCTCTCGTACCCCATGGCCACAAAACCTCTCTTGTGCTCTCTCTCTCTCTAATCTCAGTAGTATGTGTGTGTGTGCTGCATAGCACAAGAAGAGAGGACGGAGGTTCGTTCGTCCGCGCCCAAATGTGGCGACCGCGCGCACAAGAGAGGGGAGTTTAGTTTTATATTGAGTGGAGGAAGGGAGGGGGCGACTAGCGAGGGAGGCGCGCAAGGCAAGCAAAGCAACAGGAACAAGACGACGCCGGCAATGGCTTTGGAGACGGAGCTGAGCGAGCGTGCGGGATCCAGTGCGGACCACCAGTCACCACGGGGCGGGTCCCCTCATTCTCGGCAGCTCGGACCGTGTGGCCGGCGCCCGGCGGGAGGGACCGAGGGAGCACCACGTAGTGCACCTTCCTCTCCGCTTCACCTTTCGTTCCCATGAATGGATTTTCTTCTTCTTTTCGACATAAGGTTTTTCATGGATAATACTACCAACTTACGAGGGTTTTTATTTACTCAACCAAAGCTGCAACAAATTTGGGTCGAAATCCAAACTATTTCTGGCGAGGAGACTGTCCCAAGAAAGTCTCTCAAATGATTTTCAAATTTTCTAACTCTCAATGTGTTACATTGTGAACACCTTCACCTTAGACACTGAGTTAGCTTTTCAAAACCATTTCTTAAAACACTTTCACTTGCTTCCTCACCGCGTCACTAGGTCCAATATATATGCAAAGTTAGTTCAAACCTAGTGGCACTAGATAACCGATCCATCTTTGCTTTAGAGTTCTCCTCTTAATAGTACAAATA